CGCTGTGTGCTTCGTTGTGAAAGCGAAACTACTTTGTTTGGCCTTCCAAAAGAGGACGATATCGTCCAGCCGGGGTCGTCACATGTGGTTGCCGCAGGCATCACAATATGGTAAGGGACGTAACATTTCCGTCACACGCTTGAGGAATTCGGCCAATCACAACGCACTGGATAGCTGGCCAATCAGAGCACACCTCGCTTTTTCAGACCGATGAGCTTTGTAAAAATCGACGCGTTTCAGAAAGGTGGGGCATAGAGGAGAAACAATAATGTACAGTATGTGGAAAATAATGTGTTTTTTTAACCTTAAACCGCGTAAACACATTTCATTACACCAAATACACAAAATAATGTTCTTTTTAGCAGCATCATATGACCCCTTTAATACAAATCCTTCAAATGAGGTTTAGGAATGTTGAATGGGATCAAACAAGTGTGTGTGAAACAGTTTATTAAGATATTGTTCATGTTTGAGTAATATTATCTCCAATGGCTTTTCTCTCCTAATATGGCCAGGATACTTCCGTTTCCGTAGTGATTTTGGCCTGAATCTTAGCCAGGCAAGACAACAGAGGAATGGGAATGGTATTTGGGCCAAGATTTAGCAGTACTGGCAGGCTACCAGCCATAGTGCCTTTGGTATTAGATGCCTGTTTAATTGCTTTTTCTTAAGAAGCTGCCCTCTCGTGCTGATCAAACTCTGGTTTTACTGTTTATGATGGTTCAGGTCAAGACATGACGAAGTATATGGCTGTTTAAAAAACTGTTAGACGCCAACTCTTTGTCTTTTATTGTGAATGCATGAAGCTCAGTGCCAAAACTGATTGCAAAACACAGCACTTGAGTCCCGGAATCAGGCTGTCATGAAAGATGATTACAGTTAACCTCACATCTTCCTGTAAACGGCCTCTAGCAGGCATGATTAAAATGTGCTATTTGTGAGTCTGTGGACTAACAAATGTTGAGCTATTAGATCAAGCTGCATAGTTGTGGGTTTGGATGACTTGTGGAGGCCTGTGATTTGAATGGTGGTGAGTTCAGTTCTAATTTTTGTGTAGTATGACCTAAAATCTTTAAAATGATTTTTATTTTAAATAATATCTCTTAAAGTTGAGATTTTTTTTTTGTCATTTTGAATGAAAGTTCTTGGAAAAAATCAATACTCTTTGATTTGACTTTGACTGTTTGTTCAAATGCTGCATCTCTATACACTGATGCAAATGATACTATAAAAACAAGTCGAGTAATTAAACTGGAATTTCCTGCCACAGACATTCCCCTCTGGGCAGATTTGACTGCAATGCCCTGATGTCATTATACAACTGTTATTATAGCAACAGTGCTAATGCTTCTGAGAATTGTGCTAAAGGATTCTTCACAATGTGTGTGCTGCTGAGTATGCATGTTTATGTTTTATATTCTAGTTTATTCGGTTACAATTTACACAATATGGCAACACAGTGTTACAAATAAATGATAAAACATGGATTTTAACATCGACTAATCAAATTAAAATGCATGCATATTCTGGTTCACTATTATTGCTCATTTCTTTCATTTATTTGGCAAAAAAATCTCAGGCTTCAACTTCCAAACTGCAAAGAATGGCTGGCATTTCATGCCTGAGTTATTGTAGTGAATTAAATCAACAGAAATAAGTCTTGAACATTTATTATGCATTATGAAACAAAAAGACTAGGCCACTTTGTTTGTCTTTCTTGTTTCAGACTTTTTTTTTTCATAGGCAAAAATAAAATTATGATGACTGCATTACAACATTTGATCAATAATTCATTGTCAGAGTATAAAAATTAAATAAAGTTTGGTAATGTGCTATGTAGGTCTGCTTTAGCATATCAAGTCATCTGCTCCAGGGACGAATGCTGTCATATCCGACAAGCTGAAGACTCTGGCCCCACGGTGCTTAGTTAAGCAAAGCATGCAGGAAGGGATGAAAAGAAAGAACAACATTCTTTACTTCATACAGCACACTGAGGTAAATGCCATTTTTTAAAAACATCTTCACAGCTGCTTCCTTCGATTTTTACTATTCAGCAGCAGTTACATACAGTGAACACTGCGTCACTTTTGTTGTTGTTGCATGACGTCATTCGTCATTCACACACACAATAAATCTCTGCAATTCAGCCACAACGAATGTTATTATCTGTTAACATGGCAATCCTGATCTCCAATTTGAACATTTATTGTGATTGTCTGCAAATCGCATAACGTCAGTGGAAACAGCACAGTAAATAAAATGGCTTCATGTGTAAAACTACTTCATTTTCATCTTCTTTATTGCTCACAGTGTTTGCTTCTCATCTGCTTTGAAGTTTTATGGGATTCAATATGGACAGCCAATAACAGACTGGCAATGTAATCAGAAACTGATGAATGTTCATCTCTATGAATTGAATTTTAGAAGTTTGATCCCATGGTTTATATTTTATAAGGTAGTTGATTTATTTACATTATTTATTTATTTATATATTATTATTTATATATCAATGTATTTATTTAAAAAAAAAAATTCATTTAAAACACATTTACTGATTAATGCACTTAAAAATAATGCAAAAATGTATAGTTTATTAAAACCACTCTATTTACAGTATCAAGTATGATGTGCACAAATCTGTGTCAAATTCAAATGAGCACAGTAATGTCTATGTCAGTATGGGTTCTCAGGGTTAAGTGGGCATATGGAAAACTGGGTTTACTCTTTTAATCAGCAACTGGCTCCAGGCGTGTGCAGGGGAGGGAACTACTTCTCCTTCAGGCAGACCAGCTGACGCGACCTTTGACCTGAGTTAAATATAGTTTCCCCATTGTTAGGATTGATAAAGTACACTCAGCTTGTGTTTGAGAGGGCAGGACTAGGCTCTCAATCCAATGCTTCCTTTACCCTGTCAAAAGGTCATATTGTACTTGTGTGCAAGACTATGGAGAACTCTCTGCTTATATTTATGACATGTTCCTGGCGTCTCTTTCCGCACATTTCCCATCCTCCTTGACTCCAGTCATAACTGTTATGCCAGCCTGAGAAAGACGGGTATCCTGTTTGGCAGCACACTCACAATGAATGCCAAGTAACAGGCATTCCACAAGATTATTGCAACAATGGCACATTTTTGGGGAGTCTCTGGAGGCCAAATAAAATGTCACTGCAGAACCTGTTTTTTTTTTTGTTTGTTTTTTTACAGATTCCTTTGTCTGACATGCTTGTTTTCCACCATGACGGGCTCAAAGGGAATTGCTTTAAAGCAAACCAGACAGAGAATAAACAGAGTGCACAAGTGTGTTGAGTTTTTTTTAATACGGAGTTTCTTACAGCATGCAAAAATTAATTCCTTGCTGTGTTATCTGAGAAGCCCCCAGTGATTTAGCAATTACCAGATAAAATAGAAAAGAGGCTATTTATAATTTTCACCAGAATGCCTTCTCATTTTCTCAAGTTCCCAGTCAGTTTAGTTAGTTTAAATTTATCTTTCAATCAAGCAAAGCAGTTTTGAAGAGCGCTAGTAAAAAGACCTAGATCTATTAGATCTACAGGATCTACTGTTCATTTACAGGCGGCTGTAAAACTACAGCATAGACAATGTAATAATATAGATGTTTGTTTCAAAGACTTGCATCAGTCTTTTAAACATACATATAAATAGGCCTATTACATCATCCATGGCATAGTTAGTAAAGAATTGGTTAAACAGGTTAATACAGTTAATAACACCTAATTAGAACACCATTGTGATGACACCATAATTATTCAGAATTCTATGATGAGAGTCAAGTGAGTTTTGTCACGAAACTACAGTACAGTAATTTGTATTGTTTGCAGAGAACGTTATTACGTATGAAATGACCAGTCAAATGATGGGGTCTGTTAGATTTATGACATAAGCTGCCCTTACTGAATAAATGAATACAAAAAAAAAAAAAACTTACTGACCCCCAAAATTTTTAATGCATGTTTTTTTTTTTTTCAGGGAGTGAGGTCATATCATCTTGCATAGGGCGCACCAGACTTTTCACCTGATTTTAGGGTTCCCACATCTCCAAAATCCCGCATTCCTACAAAATGTGGTAAGATCTAAATGAAAAGCTATTATAATATTTCTTAAAGGTAAGATCAGGCAGAAAAAACTCCATAGGTTGCAAATGCACCCCCTATGTGATAAACCTTGCGCACTCATGTCGTCAGCGCTCTCATCCATAATTACTGGCATTTCCAAAGCTAGAGGCATGTTGGCGAAATAGCAGTTGGCTGCAAACGGGAAGGCGTTCCTCTGGGTAGGCAGCGCGGAAGAAGTCATCTCCGTAAGCGGGACCTGCGCTGTCGCTCTATAAAGAGCTTGCCCTCACTGTAAACTCCTCACTCGACTCACAGCCACCAAAGCGGCTCAGACCGGTCAAGTTGGCGACACCAACGCTGCTAAACAACACCAAAGCCGCAAGATGTCGACCGACTTGTACTCAGAATCTCGCCGGGTCTGCCCTTCGATCCACGGCAACAAGTTTGACACGGCGAACCGCAAGCGAGCGGTGGCCAACATCTTCGAGAACGTCAACCAGGACGCGCTCATGAGACTCTTCCAGAAAACTGGGGACATGAAAGCCGACGAGAGAGTGAGAAGCATCTTCTCCTTCGCGCACGACCCCGAAGAGACGGCCAAAGCTCTGATGGCCCTCAAGCAGAGGAAGAAGGACAAGTTCCTCCGGATCGCGGGGATGGTGCGACACTTTCTGAAGCTGCGTTGAGCGTCTTCACGCGTTGACCCGCGGCTTGCATGGTCGTTCATTTTAGACTGCCGGTGACATTTACAACCTGGCGATAACAGACACGTCCATAGTGGTCGAGAAGGAACCACACCGAGATGAAGGAAAGCCTCGTAAATGACACGAGCCCTTTCATGAAGGATGGGACGCACGGGAGCTGGAGCTGTGGAGGCGCTCAGTGTGAAGGAATCCCGCGGCGCGAGCACGCCGAGCCCCTCGTGCATCATAACGTGAAATACATGTCTCGTGAACTCTATGCATTTTAAAAATGGACTTTATCACGAACTTCTGCACCTTATAGGTGTACTTGTTGGTGCACAAGAACTATGACTGGAGACAGAAGTTATATTGCCTGAAAACTGCCTATAAACATTATGCCTTGTCTCTATGCCAGTTTAATATTGTGATATGTGTTAACACTCAACGGCCACTTATTTATTCGTCACAATGTTATAACACCAGTTATGCATTTTTCACAATATTATTTTTCATTGTTTGTATAATAAATTATTAACTAAACACTTGGACTCTCTTCTCTTTCTTGACTTCATATTTTAAAAAATAAATTGTAGAAATTGTGGGTTCTCCTGGACCCATGGGTGATCCCATGTTTCACACTCAAAAGGGTAAAAGCTGTCACTGGGGTGGTACTCTTTCAAAAGCTAGGCTACTATTTGTACCATTAAGTTACTAATATGTACATGTAAGGTACTGTACCAATATGTACCCTTAGGGCTAAATTAGGTACGAAGTAGATACACTCTAAAAAAAAAAAGCTGGGTTGTTTCAACCCAACTTTGGGTCAAATATGGACTAACCCAACTTTTGGGTTAAAAATTTAATTTAAAAATGTAACCCAACAGCTAGGTTAGTCCATATTTAACCCAAAGTTGGGTGGAAACAACCCAGCATTTTTTAAAGTGTACTGCCTTGTTTACAGAAATGTTAAGGTACAGAAGTATTTCAGCAGAGTTTGACATTGCTGTTGTGTTTAATCTAAAAACTAGTCAGTTACAGCAAAGTGTAACCCACAAACCCAGCAGTCATCCTGGGAGCTGTAAAAGATATTGTCGTCAACAATAAAATTTTTATTAGCTCTTGGGGGCATTTGTTTTTTAACTTTCACTTCTTGGGCTGTTTGCAGGATGGTCACACCTGTCACCACAAGGTCTAGTTAACCTTCATTCAGGCTTGTCCCTTTGCTTTGCAGATTACCAAACCGGCGTGAACCAGTTTCTGTTTGATTCAGCCGTGTTTGTTAAAGGTGTATTACATTACCATGGTGTGTAGTTTACCAATCTCTTTAGATCCTCCTCTGTCATTTTATATATATATA